GCAGTAATCAGTGATACTTAATATTTTACTCATCGGTAGAAAATAATGTACCTTCTAACTTTAGCACTAAATGAAATATGATGTCCAAACCAGGAAGCACTAGTTTTATAGATGTATTAGTTCATTTTTGTTGCCATAACAAAATAGCTGAGGCTAGGTATTTGTAAATAAAAAAGTCATGTTCATGATTTTGGAAGTTCAAGAGCATGTTGTGGCTTCTGCCTATCTCTTGATGGAATTGCCTAACAGATGGCATGGTGGTGGGACTGTGTGTGAGAAGGAACATTCACATGATATGACAGAAAGCTAGATGATGTGGGAAAAGACATTCATGTGTCTTGTTATAACAACCCTTTCTTGAGAACTAACCAGGCTCCCAGGCGAACTACAATAACTTTTTCTGAGGCCAGCCCCTCGAAAGACATAATTACTTCATACTAGGTTCCGCCTCTTAAATGTCCCATCCCCTCCCACATCACCATACTGGGGACCATGTTTCTAACACATGAGCCTCTGGAAAACATACTTAAACCACATCTAAACCATAGAGAAGATAATACATTTGGATATTTCTTGCTTCCAGGAAAATGACTGGAAAAGAGAATATAAGAGAAAAGTCCTTTGCAAACAAGATTTTCAGACTGGATATGAAGTGCTTATTTTGCATCAAATTAAGGTTAATCATCCTCTTCACAATGCAAAAAGTAGGAGTAGTTTTCTCATTTTAGCGTCACTGTTGAGTTATGCTGAGTATTTTCCAAATTTCATGTAGATGCTAGTAAGAGTAAGAATGAAATCTTCCCTCTTAGAGGTTTTGAAAGCAACTCATAATTCATAATAGCAAAGATAAAGTTCTTGAAAGTGCAGTCACAGATGCATAGCATTGGTGTTATAAACTGCCAAAGCATGTTTTTTCTGGATGAATAATGTCATGAATACTATAAGACAGCAAATCCTCCCAGTTTCTTCATATTTTGTACCTCTTCTGAGAAAGGTTTGTCCTCCAGGAAAATATCTGCAGGTGAAGATTCAGCATGAGTAAAGATTTAGTTAATTGAATTTGCCAGTTATCTTATTGAGCAGCTAAGGATGTGAGAATTCACATGCAATTTACAAAGTGATATTGTAATAAAAAATTCTCACCCTATGGAAATTTCCAGCGCATGTCGAGCATAAAGTCAACTGGATGAGGGCCAGATGGATCTGTGGTGACATAATAGGAGGAAATGAACAGAGCCCCTTTGCAGGTTGAGTTTTGCTAGTCACATGAAGTCCAGTTTTGGAATTAGAGACAGGAACCAGACTGTTTTTTTTTAAGGAAGAATCAGTGGGCAAATTAAAACTACTGCTTCAGGTGTAGAAGAAAGGAAGGCCAGGAGGTAGACTGTGGCAGGAACAGTCTTCAGTTTTTATAGGAAAAGTAGAAGTGCCCCAAGTTCTGTGCATTTCTTTATGGCTTGGCCACAGTGAGTATTTTGAAGGGCATGTCTTCCTTTCGCTGGGCAGGAAGGTGGACTGTGTCCTTAACATATCCATGAGGGAAAGGCGTCTTCTGCACACTGACGTTTTTCTTCCGAGGTGCTCATGTCCCTTTGCATCTGACTTGCTGCTACTGTCCTCCCTACGCTGTGCTGCGGGAATACCCCACCTGCCTATTTACACTTGAGATTTCTGTTCTCATTTGGAGATGTTTTTGTTAACCTCATTCAATAGACAGTCAAACGTCATGGTAGTGGGGTTTCAGGAACAATAAGGAAATTTCTCTTTATTTACAATTTTCACTTTTATCCTTGACTTAAAACTTCCCCTTGGAAGCAGAAATTCAGATATGATACATTTATATTCCTAGGTAACTTTGTCCTCTCTGTTTTTGTGACCCCCAAAACGTGGCATCTGTCTCACCTAGGTCTGATTTTATTCAGTAGAGCTTTTCAAGTCTTTATGCTCAAAATTGCCTTTTTTCCATGCCTATTTGTAGAATGGCAGAAAATTTTAGAATTTCAGATGGCTTATTTGTATAATCACATGTATGGAACAAGAGAATCAGAATGATCATTTTTAAGTTGGTGACTTTTCACAGACTTTGTTGGTGAATTGCAATTCTGCTAGTTTCTTTGAAGAGATGCTGGACTTAAAATATCCAGTTTTTAAATGTATCTTCAAAGGGCATTGCTTTTCAGGTCTGAAATTCTTTGGATCATGCACAGTTTTAGGAAATATAAATTACTCAAAGTGTGTGTGTAGGGGTGGGTATGCAATTTTAAATTAATCAATATTCAGCATCTGATAGCGATAAAAACATATCAACTCTTTTTCTGTTATAAATGCATGTTTTATTTAAATGCCAACCTGATTCACACTACAAATACTAGAATACAAAGAGCTCATATGTGAAAATATCTGCTAATGGGCAGGGGTGCAATGTCCAGATGTTTAGAGAGCACAGCAATGCACACAGGCAAATCAGTTCAGAGGCACACATTCTAGCCAGGCACTGCTGTAATTTTACCCAAATCTATCCAAGTGGCTCATAATCATTTTCTTCCATGGCCTCCTTGTCATTTGATCAAACTTTGCAAATACCCTTTAATTTCCTCCTCACTTATGCCTCACAGTGTTTTGCAAAGCCGGCTGAAGGACATGATAAAAGCAGCAGTCACAATACTCCAAAGTTCCTTCTGTTATCTTTATCCAGCACTACTAACCCACAGAACTTAGTAGGTACTATCTTCCTGAACTGCATGTTTTAGCTCGTCTCTCCTTTTCTTGTCTTCTCTTTCTCATCTCTACTGTCCTGCTTCCTATTAAGTGTATTTTTCTGTCTTTCAGATCCAAATCTGGGGATATTTCCTTTGACTTTAGCTTTTAGCCCAAATGGCTACATACATGGTTCTGAGAAAAATGCAGGTTTTTAAACAGATTTTCTAGGTGATTCTCCTGTGGTTTAGTAACACAAAGTATTTAATGGATGCAAACATTTTAATTTACATGTCCCAATAGATATTTACTTGGCTGGACATCGTTAGAGCCACAAAGACATAACGCTAAATTCCAGCCTTTAAAGAGATAATATAGGTATCAATTGAAGCTATATACGTATGAAACATACAATACCACTAAATAATACTTAGGATTCAGCAACGTCATGTTCAAGTATTCAAAGGCGTGAGGTTAGACATGTTTGTATTTTTTGCTGGCTGAGGCACCCCTATTACACATACAGCCCCTGTCACCTACTGTACTTATCTGCTCAACAGACTTGTGGAACGCAGTGCAATCCACAAGGGCGTTTCTGTAATGACAGCATGCATAACACAAAAGATCTCATCCATGACTGATAAGAAGTAGGAAAAGGATACTAATAAAATGGGAGTAGTTGTGTCAGTTCCTATGCCAGTGTTCCCAGCACTGCAACATTTTGCACTGAGGAGTCACAGCAGCTGGGAAACACTGTTGAGTTGTGCAGAACACGTGGTGCTGAGCCTTGTGCCCAGCTCCCGACTTTCTCTGTTGATCAACTTGGTGGTGAGCTCTAACTTGGGGAGGTTTATGGGATGAGGGGGCACAACAGAGGGTTCTTTTACTTATTTTGTGTTTATCTTCTCAACTCAGCAGCTCAAAAAACTCTCCTTACAATCTCTTAAACAGTTAACCTTCATTTTTATAAAGGCAAAGCCCTATATTTATATTTACTGTAATATTTATGAGGAATTTAACATGGCTTATAAACTCTGCTAGTATGTTTTTCGGGGATGGTTGCTGTTTATGTTCGTGCTCTGGTTGCAGTGTTATACAGGTTTGAGTCATTTATTCCTGTTGTCCCCACAAGTCTTGTTAATTCTACAGTGTGATTTCCCAGCATGGGAAGAATACATACATCCTTTTATAGTAGAAATGCAGCATTGCAAACTTCATTTTTCAATGAAGACAAGTACGATTTGGCTGCGGGAGAAGATGTTCTGGGAAGAGCACCAGCAACTCCCACACGGATACAGGCACAAACTCTTCGAAGAGCTGGGAAGGATCCCACCTGAACGGAGTGCCAGGCTCTGAGGTGCAGGTAATGTGGGCTGGTAGGGTGGTAGAGCCTTGAAGGAATCCGGAATTTTTTTGGGCAAAATGCCTCACAGAGCTTCTAGAGCAGGCAGTGGCCTGCCAGAGTGGTGTTCTAGAGCTATTCACCTGTAAGTGTGGTCAGAGTGGTGCAAGCGAAGCAAGACAAGAGCAGGTGAGGTGGGGAAAGGCGACAGTGAGTGCTAAGAAAGCATGGGGCACTTGAGACGACCTCTGAAAGCGGGGGAACCCTATTGGCCGTGGAGAACAGCTCCCTCAAACTGGCTGCTCATCCTGGTCCTTGCGACTGGTGCATAAAGGCGTCCCGGGCAACAAGCTGAGAAGCTGGACGACAGAGCAAGTTGGACAGGAAAAAGACAAAGTAGGCTTTGCTTGGCCGGTGTCCCCAGGTTTCCAGCACAAGCAACCGGCTGTGCCTCGCGGCCCTAGGACCTGGCTCCTGGCTGGGGGAAGGGGAGGGGGACGAGAGAGGAGGGGGCGGGAACCCTCCTCGAGCCTTGCAGACGGGCTCCAGCGCCTGGCAGAGGCATCCGCGGCCTGAGCATCCCAGTACTGAACGCTCCGGGCAGCTGTCGCGCTGAGTCCCTCTCCTCAGGAGGACAGGGCGGCGGCTGCGGCTTGCGCGCGGGGTCCGCTTTTGCGCTGCGATTTCCAGGCCTGGACCGGGATTCTAGGTTCCGGACGCCCCGGCCCCGATGTCCCTCCTCCTGGACCCTCGCGGGACCAGGGGTTCCCGCCCCCGGGACTCCCGGCTTCCGAGGCCGGGCCTCAGTCGTCCCGCCCTCTAGGCCCCGCCCCC